CTACGTTTCCGTATTTCCGTTTTCGTAAATGATAAATACGGCCGAAGAGTATTCAAAATATGCCGCCTTCCTTTTTCATACTTTTGAAATGTATTACCTCTTATATCTGATATTTCTCCGTGGTTTATTGGGCTCTTTTTGCATGAACAGACTGGTGATATAGTTTCAAGGGGCCAGCTACTTTCGACAGAATCAATTACATCCTGGTGAGCAGTTACAGTTTCCAGTATTTTTCCGGTTTTCGTAAAATGCATCAAATACGGGCGCAGATGGTCTCAACTATGTGCTTCCATTTTTCATATTTGAATGTATCCTAACTGTCGTCCTATCATCGTTAATCTCCGTGTTTACTGGGTCTTTTTGCATGAACAAAGACTGGGATATGTTTCAAGCCAGTACTTTCGATACGGCAATGGTTGTCCAGCCTGTTGTTTTTATGCGGCGGCCTTGACAGCGTCATGTGCTTCTGCATCACGCCGGGGTGGACCGTCGCATCCAAAGGGTTAAGGTCATAGTCAACGCGGTCATATTACATCACAAAGGTGTAAACATCTACCACCCCAAGACTCCTGGCCGCGCGTTATAGTTGTAGTTGCGTTGAGTTGAGCCGGTTGTGTTTTTAGTGAGCTGGTTATGTGTGTGTTTTTCAGTAGTTTACATTGTATCTTTCACCATTTGTATTCCATGGTGCCATATTATATTGTGTTTTGTGTCAGGCTTTGCCCAAATCCAGCCTGTAGGGCATCGGCTCACTAGTTTGTCCTCTCGGGAAAAGGTCTCTTTGGATGCTTATCGTTCGGTTCCTGGGTGCGTTTGATTCCACCTCCCTGCGAGCGCCATACTCTCCACAGCTTTATCAGGAACCGTGATTACATCTCTCTCCCTTCCCCTTCGCGCTCTTTCTCTCTCCTCACCCTACCTGGTAGCCGCCCTACCGTCAAGCAAGACTAAGTGTGGAGAAACTGCATTAACACAGATACGCAAATGTAGCGTGAAGCATGTACTGCTACCAGCACGACTCTTCTTTGTGATTGCTTTGGATGTTTCCCCACTGTCAAAGGTGTTGTTTGTGTTGTGCGTGGTGGGCTGTCACTCCTGTGCTCCCCGGCTCACGCTGCCACTCACCTGCTGCATCAGTCCTGTGCTCCTCCCCGGACTACACACCTGCGTTTCCATCAAGCCCTTTTTACACGGCATATCAGAACAGAGGCTGCCACAAACCTTTCGCCTCCAGATCGTCAAGGTATCAGCCGTTCTGCGTCTTCCCTCGGGTAACAGCCGTAATGTGGAGTGCTTAGGTTCACTCCTGGTAGATCGGGATAGGCTGAGTTCCTTGGCGCATTAGTTTGTGACTGAGGCGTATCACCAGTCCTGCCAGTCACGTTAGTATATATNATATATATATATTTAAGCAATAGCTCACGACAGGCCGTGGTATATGCTCATTATATCACAGCTAAGGGGTGTGGTTCGGCCCGACGCGAAGCAACTTTAGCAATCCCCAGGTGCTTCTTATTCTTCGGATTGTACAAGATCTCGACGTATATATATATATATATATAGATATATAGATATATATATATATTGTAATATATATAGATATATATCTATATATATATATTTCTAAGTTATATTAAAGATATTGACGATGAAAACTAACTAAAAATATATTATTAGGATTATCACAGTTAGAAGTATTTAAAATTGACAAACAAATTGTAATACTTTTAAGTACATTTGGTTGTTAATACTTCGGCTAGTATTTAAAAGTAGAAAGGATCCAATAGTTTTTCCACAACAAGAGGTTTAATGTGTAATTCAGCAGAGCCAGCCATGCTTTAAATCACCCTCACAGGTGTCCAGTGAGTCAGGCTCCAAGTGTTGGTTTCGACAGCTTTGTTTAATTGATGCTGTGTAAGCTAAATCTGTGAGTGTGTCATGTCTCAGGTGGCTGGCAAGACGAGACGTGGCCCGACGGCTGGACGGCGGTGACCCGAGACGGGAAGCGCTCTGCTCAGTTCGAACACACCCTGTTGGTGACGGAGACCGGCTGCGAGATCCTCACCCGCCGCATGGAGGACAACGGCCGCGCTCACTTCCTCAACCAAATGTAGACTCGCACGCATCCAAGGACTGGACTTTTCCAGAACACAAGCCACCCTCTGGGCCACACACACACACACACACACACACACACACACACACACACACACACACACACACACACACACACACGAAGCACCACTCCTAGAGCTCAGTTTAACTGCCGCTCTCATTGTTCTTTGAATTAAATATCCTTGAAATAAATGGAAGTACTTGAATGTGTCTTATATCAAACGCTTTATTATTGAAAACTGTATCCTCTGAAGGAACGTATTTATGAGATATGGTTTTGCTTAGTGGCCTGTCATGTCACCCAGAGTTTGTTACTGGCTGGCTAGTTGTTGTGTGTGTGTGTGGTGCTCAGGGCAGATACACTAGTAACAACATGCTTCTTTTCTCTCTCAGCCTCTGCTCACTTCACACTTCGTACGAATCCCCCAGAGATGGACTGAAAATGATCAGCAATACTAGAGACCGAGGAGGGTTCCCAGGGTTAACAACTCTCAAAACCTCAACAACTTATTTTAGATATAGAAAATAACTCTGGGCCATAAAGCGTACTATTTTTAGTTTAGAGTACAGGCAACAAAAGTCGTTTTCTGCCAAGAGCCAAACAGCCTAAATGTAAAGTAGTAGTTTGATGTTATAAAAATACACTTGGCAGATTTGGGGAAAACCAATACACCTTGGTGTCCATTAAAAATGTAGCAACAGCCAGGAGACGGTTAGCATAAATACTTGAAGCTGGAGAAAACACCTGGACCAGCTCTTTAAAACAAAATACCTTCCAGCACCTCGAAAGCTCAGAATTTAATCAAAAAAACTTGATTTGCGGTTTTTACAATTGGTTTTGTTTGGATTAAACAAACAAGATGTAACATGTTAATAAGTGATATTTTGATGTGCTGGTAGGTGGATTTTGTCAACAACAAAAAATTGCATATAAAGTCATTTCTGTAGTTTGTAAAAGTACAACCATCAATTGATTTATTGCGTCATGCCTGCTTGCTGGGTATTCAATCTCAGTACCAGAGAAACACTCACTGTCTTATTTACCTGGCGACGTGTCCACTAGAAGCTCTCAATTGTTACATCCTGAATGTGGCTATTATTAGTGCAGTCGGAACCTTTTCCAGTAGATTACGTCAGCCACGGTTGCTAGGAGAAGTGTGATGCGACCACAGAGTATCTTCATAGATATCGAGAATGAGAGAAATTACATTGAGCACACAGTTGTTGAAGCGCTGAGTTTGTTAAACTGAGGAAAACTCCTTTAGTGTCTCGTGTTTTCTAGAGCCCTGCTGTAGCAAATCGAGCCTTAATGTGTGAGTCTAGGAATTAAAACATGCTGGATATCTCACGGAAAGTTACCTGATGTTTCCCCTTGTCTCTACGGTCACCATTCATCTCAACATAGGGGTTTTCCCGTTGAGAGCAGCATTCTTTCTATTTTCAGAGGACTAATGTGATCACAGTTTCTCTGCCATCTTTGTATTTCTTCTAATGGAGTAATAAATGACTTCTGTAGCTCTTGTGTGCGAGTTTATCCTTAAATGATCTAATAGCTTAATTATTCATGGCTTTATTACTGCCTTTTTTTCTTCAGTGAACCATTTTATTCATAAAGTCAAAATGAAGGTTCTCTCCTGCACACATGATTCTTTAGGCCCATTTTACTATGTAGTTTGCAGTGATAAATAAATTACATTATTGCCCCGCACAGTAGTAAATGGTAGTTTCAGTGCTAACAGCTGTGCTTTCAGCAGAATTAATTAGTAAACTGCTGTTAGATTATAAATCAGGACTGCCAAAGCACCTCAACAACAATGGTACAAAGTATGACGATTGATTATCATCCTGAGACGCAAAGATGGCATAATGAGACAACGTGAACCAGATGTTTCACAAGTAGCCGGTTTACAATGTTTATTTTTTAGCTGATCGAAAGCTAAATTATTGTCAGACTAAAGCCAAAAGTACCTAGAGTGCAATAACGGGAAATGCGTTCCGCCTCTTTTGCTCTCCGCACAGATTATTTACCCGTGTTCAACCAAATCCCGCATGAACGTGATTGGTCTATACTACAATTGGAAGTCTGAACGCTCCTTCTAACATTTAGTATCATCGATCCTAACTTTACAAAAAACCTCACCTCATATCCAACAAATGGAACATCAAAGTCAAAATGTGTGTTTTGAAGAAATACATTTAAAATCAGAATTACTTTTAGGTCAATCAAGCAAAAGGCCCATTGTCCATTCCAACATAATGTGTCCTTTTATACATCTGCCCAACAGACAGCACACATTGTTCATCACCACAAACAACTGAGGAGGAACACTTACTTTGGCTCTGTGTTCTAGCTACAGAGCAAGAACTGAGCTGATGGGGAACACTTTCCGCCTAACTGAGTCCGACATGGCTGAGTACAAGCTGCTGTAGCTATTCTCTCAAGTCCAACCCAGTTGAAGTCTACATTTTGGAAACTAAAGAGCATCACCCAAGCTTGGGAGGGACACTAACGTTTACAGTGAAAACCTTTAAAGCAGCCTAGTTCTCAAACCCCACAGGGAGAATAATCAAAGGATGTGTTGCGAGTGTTTCAGAAGGCTTGTTTCACTTTCCACAGCTTCATCGGGCCTTGATGTCCAAGCTGCTATTGCAAAGATCCACTTGAAGAATCATCATAGATTAACAACCTTCAAACACTGATGCCATTTGGTTGTTTGTAGTTGTATAGTCTTATTATTCATTCAGTCTAGATCAAAGAATAATCTTGTTTCGTTACCTCTCTTTTTCCTTTCCACAATGTTCTCTCTCGTGTGCGTGTTCTTTCAGGGGCGAGACGCTGATCAAAGAAGTGTCAGAAGTTGTATTGTTCAAATAAGACACACATGAAGAGGGAACTGAAGGATTTATTCAACAGAGCAGGGTAAACTTGGAGTGCGATCATGGTTTCCTGGGCTTCTGTGCATCTAGAGCTGAAGAACGACGCGAATGCTGAAAAGATTAAAATTGGATTAGGTTGTGTCCTATTAAGGCTTAAGACATTTGTGATTTAATTAGCACTCCTATTTGAAAAGAGACCTCTCATGGTGCAATCTATTATGAAACCCTGTCTCATCACATCTCAGCTTTGTCCTCAACAGAGGGCAGCAGTGACGCATTACATTCTCAACAGACAAAACCCAGAGGGACACTAAGGTGCTGTTTACACGGGAACAAAACGGGTTGTATCTGCTAATTTTCTCTTTCGTATAGCCCCTTCACACGAGGCCGTAATGGAACCGCGGAAACCGCCTCCTAAAACGATAACGGGTCCCAAGGTGGGGACGTCCTATACGATAATTTCCCTGATAACGATGAAGCCATAGCCCCGCCTCTCCCCACCTCTGCTGCTCACTGCTGCAGCATGGTCAGTAGCTACTGCTACTGACCATGCTACAGATATTAGTACAAAATCTACAGCTCCTCTACCACAACCATCAGCAACAAGTGGACATGGAGAACTACATGAACTACATGTGGCTAAATCCACCGCGGAGAATAAACAGGAGGGCTGCCAGGCAACAATGGCAACCATGCTCGGGGTCTTCTTCGCTGCTTTTGGTGTATTTTGTGGCGGAAGTACAGCGCCACTGACAGGCCCAGCATATGTGCTACAGCGTCTTCAGCGGGTCGAGCGGTCTCGTGTGAAGGGACACGTTTATTGAGCCGTATCCATGTGAACGGAAGACTTTTTTTATATTGAATTCGGTTTGTTTGCGTTTGGTTTGCGTTCCCGTGTAAATGGGGCCTAAATCCTCACGTTAACAGAAGAAACAGATTCAAAACACATCTTAAACTGAGGCTTACCATTTCCCAGCATGCATGAGATCAAACCCTTCATTGATCTTCTCAAAGGGCAGAGTGTGAGTCACAAATTCGTCCACTTTGAGCTTCTTTTTCATGTACTCCTCAACAAGTTTTGGAACACTGTCGACACTCTTGTATCCTGGGAAAAGTGTGAAATAGCTCATTAAAGTACAGAAAATAAATGCAGGGGTTCCTTCACTAGAGGCTATAGACAGGGCAGATCACAGAATGTCATTTCTTCTTCTCACCTGTCAGAACAAGTGTTAATGCTTAAAGCAGCAAGAAAAATTAAATTAAAAAAAAAAACTTTTCTAACAACTTTCTAGGCTTATGAAAGACATTCTTTCCTTTGTCGTACTTGCCATGAACTGACATGTAAATCCAGTTCCAGCCTCTGACGTTAACTTCTGAAATATGTTACCCTTGGCTCTTTACTCTTGTCGTTAATGCAATTAGATAACTTCTTAAACAACGTTCTACTATACTCCAACAACTTGCTACTCTGCAATGTACTCGCCATACATTTTTGTTGCCAACGTGAATTAAGCCCCATTCTCTGATTTAGGTCTCCGATATGCAGCTCTTGGCTTATCTCAGGCCCCCAAGCTTAACTAACTTTTGGGGCCAAAGGCCGGCACCTCTGCAGTAGTAACTTGGAAGACTTTTTCTACATCAGGATCTGGCCATGGGACTGCCTCGTTTGGAAAAGGGTACATGAGAACTGTTTGTGACTGTAGTGCCAGGTGTCCGTTTGGAATTTCAGGCGACGCATTTTTGTCGAATATGATGAATTAGAAACCCATTGACATCAGCATCTCAAGAAAAATCAGTCTAAGAACAAGCAGCTTGTTACCCCCAAAAGCAGTTCCTTTCCACGTGCGTCCGGTCACCAGCTGGAAGGGCCGAGTTGAGATCTCCTGTCCGGCTGCTGCCACCCCGATGATGACGCTAGTGCCCCAGCCTTTATGACAGGCCTCCAGGGCAGCTCTCTGCAATCAAGACACAATATCAGACAGACAGTATGACCTCAACCTGATCCAAGCCAAACCAGACTGCTACCACAACATCACCCTAATTTATCTGGACATTGCCAAGAATATAATTGTATTAAAAAGACACTGAATCTGAATTCTAAATGTATATCATATTTAATAGAAGTATTTATTGTAAAAACGAACAGTTTTCACACAGAAAATTGAATTGCTTCTTCACCTTCAAGCCTAGCAACTACCAATATTACAGGAAACTCTCCATTTTGTTTTCGGCAGTTACTCTGGTTGTTCAGCCATCTGCTATTGCAACTACAGGGGATAGTAACTCCAAATAACATACATTTTTAATATTTTATAAATACAGGCTTGCGAAGCGAAATTATGAAATCTGCTTATGTGTTTTATTGTTGGTCGACTGCCTGAATATGCTTAATAAAAAGACAGGTTTTCCTATCAGAGAGCAGAGGACATATTTTTGTTACAGAAAAATCTAGTTGTTTTCTTTCTAAGGTTACATTGTTATGTTTTCTTACATAATACACTTAAGTAAAAAAAATCTTATTTTAATGTATTTCTCTTTTATTTATTAGCACTGCCTTTGATTTTGAGGTCATCCAAAAGTAATGGAACTTAAAATGTGTACTTGTCTGTCTTTATTAAAAAATTGCAGATAGATGGAAATATGTTTTTTTATAAAGCACTGTCAATAAAGCCATATTCAAGGATTCCTGTGTTTACTCAGCATGCAGAGATGAAGGGAAAAGGAATGGTCAATAATATTGTATAATTCACCATTATTGCCACATTGCCCACGCATTCAAAGGAGTAGTCCACGCCTCCATCTGTCATCTCCACCAGGACCTCTTGGATCGGCCTGCTGTGGTCCTTCGGGTTCACCACCTCTGTGGCACCAAACTCTCGAGCAGTTTTAAATTTGTCCCGGTTGAGATCCACTCCAATAATCCTGGCTGCCCCGGCTGCATTACAGCCCATAATAGCTGCAAGACCCAGCGCCCCCAGGCCAAACACGGCACAGGTGGAGCCAGCCTCCACCTGCAGGGTGAAGGAATGGGGAGGCAAATACAGGTCAGCGCCTTTCCGAAAATCACAGCAAAGATAAGATGTTGTACAGAGTACCTTAAAATGAATGCTATCCAATGGTTAGAACGGTTTTGCATGTGTTTGCTTCTTTAGGCTTTAGTTGCGTTTTAACCAGCTTCAGATATAGGTTAAAAAAATAACAGATGGACATATTAAATCCACATTTAAAATCCTCCAAGCAGATCTGGGAGTCTGTACTTAGGCAAGGGATCTTTTTACCGAATTGCTAAGTATTCCAATATGCTAACAATGAAAATATAACATGCTGATATAGCATTTAGTATCCCATTTTGGTGTGTTAGCCTGTTAGCACATATTGATAGCACAGCAGAGGCTGATGGAAATGTAATTATTTCTGCATGTATTTGGACAAAATTGAAGTATTAGACATATTTTGTTTTAAACCTGCACCTAAAATCTTAAAATGTAACTGTAAAAAAGAATACATATTTTTGCGACACGGTTGTTCAAAATGTTGGCCAATTTAAGAGAAGTTGTTGATATTTGACTAGGTAATGACGCTATGGCTTTACTGCACTGCTGCTATTGAGGTATTGTAATGATGCCTCTGTTGTCTTTACCCTGAAAAATAATTATTTGCAGCTCTTTAAATCTATATATTATACTATAAGCTATATCGTGCTGTAATATACTTAATAGACTGTTTAATTTCCTCAAATGTCTTATTACTCCAGTAAAACCGTTTTTGTAAAAAAATGGATTGAAGCACAGAATCCTTTGTTAGCATGATTGCATTTATCTATTTTACAAAAATGTGGGTCAGGGTTAAGGCTTTGGAAAATATCGGAGGCGGGATATTTACTTTGGAGCAAAAGTAATGTGTTATTTTTCCTGGGAATTGGAGAATTAATACAGTCACTGGCTTTCATCACAGCACAGTGACAACAGACTGACCTTGGCAGTGTTTACAGCAGCTCCATAGCCTGTGGTGATGCCACAGCCAAGCAGACACACCTTGTCCAGAGGGGCCATGGGATCCACTTTAGCCAGGGAGATATCAGCCACCACTGTGTACTCAGAGAATGTGCTACAGCCCATGAAGTGGAAGAGGCTCTTGCCTTTGCAGGTGAAACGGGTTGTTCCATCTGGCATCAAGCCTTTGCCCTGAGTGAGCCTGGAGAGTGAGACACAAGAGCAGATGTGACAGCTGACCAGCAACTATGGAGGTAGATTTGTTTCAACATTATGTGTTTGAAGAGTCAGTGTAGTGTATAATCTTCAGATGTGAAACACATTCTACAAATACTAAAAATCGATGTTTGAGAAATATAAATATAGAACTGGCCTGAAAAAAAAAAATCCCACAAATGAAAAAAATAATTCTGTGAATACTTCAAATTGATTTACAAGTAAATGAAAAACTTTTATCAAAAATCTTTTTAAATGGAAAGCTTTCGAACAGGCAATAGGCAATTATAGATCTGAAGTCTATGTTTACTGATTTGCATATAACACACTCAGGGTTTTAAGACAAACTTAAAACACAGAAAGAATATCTACGTGTCGCTCAGCCATTTTAGATTGTAAATACTGCTAATGATGGGTTCCCGCATTTACAATAAGAGCACAGTCTGGCTACTTCCAACCCGAAAACAAATGCATAAAAAGTCTGTTGGTAAAAGCACTTAACATGTTATTAGTAGTGTATCCTTACTACTGTAGCAACTGCTAAAAGCAGGTAGAATTTGACAATGGTGTGTATTAGACGTTTGCTCAAGCTTCACACAAAAAAATTTTTTGCCTGTTTTTTCACCAAAATTGATTTTAGTATTCCTTTAGGATTTGCACTTAAGGAATTGGAAAATCTAGGTCTGAGTGAATATCTATGTGTGTCACTCGGCAATTTTAAGACAGGAATTGATAACTGCTAATGTTGTAGTTTTTCCATTTCAAAGTAAGAGCATGCAGTAAAATGTGATAGTGGCATGTAAAACACAGTCGCTTGAACAACACAAAACTCTTTTCTGGTGAAAACGTTATTAGAAAATATTTACCTGATCTTTTGACACAAGTTGGTTTTGGGATTCCTACAGAACTTGCACTCACCACACTGTGGGATGTACAAGGGTATGACTGTGTCCCCTGAAACAGAAACAGCATTTTACATTTGAGCATTTACATAAAATGCAAAAATCTGAATGAAAAGAAGATAGATAACCTTTTTGAAACTTGGTGACCCCCTCCCCAACACTCTCCACAATTCCAGCTCCCTCATGGCCCAGCACTACAGGGAACACCCCCTCAGGGTCGGAGCCACTGAGTGTGTAGGAGTCAGTGTGACAGATCCCTGTGGCAACGACCTGAAATATAAGATCTGATCCATGGTCATCCTTTTAAATATTCACCTCACCTCAAAAACTGCTTTAACATGGAAAAATCAGTTCATCAATCAAATGTTTCCATTCATTATTTAAAAAGTATTAGTAGTAAGTTGAAGAATGATTGATTTCGTAGAATACATTAATAGGAGGTTATATCACTAGAGTAAAGCAAACACTTTCCTGATAACCAGAAATGGTGCAAAGTTCACTGTAGTGTTGTCCTGTGCACGAAATGAGGGAGAAACCCACTATAGATAACCTTTAAGGTGCAGCTGGTCTTTAAATTAGGTATATAACAGTATATACATATACTAGTTAGTAAGTAGTAAGTCAGTAACAGACTGTATGGCAGCCCTGACAAAACATATTGTCTAAGTCTGATAACACTTGCTTTCTGTCCTGTATCTATTTATGCGGATAATCTTTTTAGGTTTTACATTTTTAACTCAGTGAAAACAAGATTAATGTATCTTTGCTTATGTTTTAATTGTTGTAATACTAATTTCAGCCACAAGATGCTGAACTGCACCACACTGCCAAACTATGCTTTTTACATTACATTGGATTTTTCCCCTACCCTTAGTTTTCTACTTTTTTGTCAGAGAGGGTCTTTAATGGAGGTTCTTAGAGTTGTAAGGGGGAGACAGGGGGGAGGACATTGCCTGATACTGCCTCTTGCAGTAGCGTGTATTTTATATAAATGAGTGTTAATATCACAACATCTGGCTTGTTTCATTACCTTAAGGCGAACCTCCCCACTTTTAGGAGGGGCCACCTCCACCTCCTCCATCACCTGAGGTTTCCCGGCCTCCCATGCTACCGCAGCTTTGCACCGGATCACCTACAACACAACATCCAAGAGCAACTCTGTTGTGATTTAATCCACTTAGTGTTACAGTCAGTTCACCATCAGTTCTGCTCCGTAAACACACTAGTATAACACACCAGGGGTAGACATTAAGGGTAAAATGCCACTGGCCCTCCGGGCCGGTGGAATTGTATTATCACTGGCCCCACCATTGTAACCACTGGCCCGGAGCATTCGTCCAAAAAAAATCGACTAATAATGAAGAAAATTAACACATTTGTTGCAATAGTAATTTATGCTAACTACATTACTACTTGTAGTACAACATTTGAATCATCAGTTCTTCCTCACTTTCCTCAATTGATCATATTGGTTTATTAAAATAAGTTTATATGTGTTCATTGTTAAAACATTTCGGCTATTATGATGAGTATTAGTTATTTGTATAATGCGTTGCCGTCATTAGGAGTTAGAAATAGTAGATGGCTATTGTGAGTAGATTAGATTAGAACCTTCAGTATCCTAAAACTGCTGGGACATCCCTATAGCCCAATTACCTTTTATATTTTCTACTCGTCATTACTTGTCAGATAGGGTTGGCAATTGAATGTAAAAAAGAGCCGGACAGAAGACCCCTTGTTTATATTGCCATCATATGAGAGGCCAGTGAGCGCATAAAAAGCACAGGAAGTAAGCCGCTGTTCCCCTCGACAAAAAAGCCAAAAATGGGACTTCTCCCACAGGGTTTTTTGGAAAAATAGCTAAAATAAAAGTCTTGGAAACGAACCGTTGGATAAATGCAGGTTTTGTTCAAGACCGGATAATCTCCAATATGTCTACCCTAGCTTTTATAATTTCGAATCGAGTGTAAATGCTATCGAATAGATTATAAAAGTTTATAGGACGCGTCCAGCACACTTAGAACCAACTCCATCGCGATCAGCTGCCTGAAACGGTTGTGCTCCCGCGTTTTTCTTCCCGATGTTCTGTTCCCCACGTCTCCCGTTTAAAAAACTCCTTTCGTGAACTTTTCCTTGTTCTAGTTTGAAGATTGTTTGTTCCCGGCGCGTTGGCCGGGTTACCGCTGTATTAAAAAACATTTTGGCGGAATGGTTAGGTGCGCCCCCGCCCGCCCCCGCCGACGAAGAGGCGGAGTCGAGACGGAGGCTGCGGCTCGCCCACGGCAGCGCCGCGCGGCGCGCGCCGCGAGAGCGAAGACGGTGCGCCCCCCAAACAAGACAAACCCCAGAAAAACAGTGAGCGATGAAACGAAAACAATTGAACAAAAATGAAGACAAAAAACCAATAGCGCACAGGGAAAAAGAAACAATAAAGGGCCCGAGCGACCGCGCAAGGAAGAGCGACGTGAGGCGGCCCGGCGTGGGAAAGCACGGCGCCGGCCCACGGGCCAAGGAGGAATGTGAGCCCTGCACACGCCAGACCCAAAAAATACGCCAGGCAAACAGAGAAAAACAAAGCAGAATGGCGGATTGAACGGAAAGACCACCGTGGATGGAACGGGACGCCTGAAAAACCCGAAGTGCACACATGACGCCGGCCGCGAAAACGGGCGAGCCGAGCAAATAAGCAGGGGCGAACTGAGACGGGGGGAAACCGGGCCGGCGCAAGCCGCGAGTAAAGCGGCCCTAAGCCGGCGACAAGAGCAGACTGACGGCAGACGAGGCGGCCGGAAGACGGCGCGTTCT